TGACCTTCGACCCCTCAGGGCAGAAACTCGTCCGGAAAGCGTTCACCATATCCGCTACCATCTACTAATAGTAATGGGGTCCTTCTCCCAGAAGAACTCGGGAGATCCATGGTGGTTGTCGAGGCCAACAAAATTAATAACCCTAAATATTACACACTAAAATAGTGTATAGTAGTAAAGGGATCGAATCCACGGAGATTGGTTCAATTTTGTAACTCTATGAAAAATCTCTTCGTAAAAATACTTGTAAAATGACAATAAATTAAAAATGGGGGTTTTGGTCTTTTAAAATACTTGAAATAAACTAGAATTAATTAAGATTTAAATAGACAATTTCAATAACAATAAGAGTTTGATGTAAAATCAATAAGGGAAGGATGGTTGACTTAAGGTTTCCTCACTTTGACTTTTGATGAACATATCATTAGAAGCCAATGGTGCAATACTTGTTTTAAATCCTTAATTTGGCTATAGTAACCCAAGGAGCTTGAGATTACCTAGACTTTTCTTAGTTGTTAAAATGGTTAGAGAAGCTCATAACAATTTCCTTAGTCAAAGTCATAATTTCCATTAAGCATGTAATTAGTGAAAGTCAACTAGCATTAAGAACCAAAAAGTCACCAAATCCAAGAGGAGTCAAATGCTTTCACTACCATGTTGGAGGAAATGTTTTTATGATTGTGTGAAGCAAAACTAACACAAAAATCACTTGTTGCTTGCTAATTTGAAGATCTTTTACTTATCAAGAAATTAGCCAACTAATCACCACAAACACATTTAAACTCATGAATAAAAACATACAAGTAGTGATAAGATGTTAAAACACAAAACATTCCCATAAAGATTTAAGAACAAGTTCATGGATTCTTCAACATTCAACAAAAGTTCAAAGGATTCAACAAAGTCAACCAAGATTAGTTTAGCCAAGCATGGCTAAACTCAAAGAAACAAAGTTAGAGAAGATTGTACCAAACATTTAACAAGAATCAAGAGGTAAAGAGATGATGTTCTTGAGGTGTTCTTGGCCTTCAAAAGTCTTCAAAACTCCAGAGAGAATGCTCAAAAATCGGATGTCTAAGAGTTTTTAAAAGTGGCACACCAACCTTCCCCATATAGCTCAAAAGAAGAATTTTTGGAATTGCCCCTGCAGGGGGTTGCGCGACCCGCGTGCTGTTGCGCGGGTGGGTTGCGCGGGTGGTCCCTGGATGTAGCATCTTTGAGGTTTGGGCCTCCATAGCTTAGCCCACTTGGCCCAGTTTGAGTCCAATCAGCTCCTAGCCCATTTTTCTTCAAGTTTTCTTCATTTTAAGCCCAATTTGACTTCTCCAAATCCTCCAAAGCTCGTGAACTCGCCCGATTAATAATCTACGCACGCTTGAATATTCTACCGCATCTTGCAAATTTAAAGTTTATTTCTACCAAGCCTTCAATTAATCATCAAGCCCATAATCCTTGTTGTCTACCAATTCCCATCGCTTTCCATACGTCCCGACACTCCCACTCCGCTAGACTCCTTAAAATCTGCAATTATGCTCACGAAACTAGAAAATACCCGAAATGGTCATAAAATAGCAAAAAGGAAAATATGCATGGAAATTAACTAAATTATGGATGAAATATGCTAAAATAAACTATAAAAAGAAGTAAATAAATGAAACTATCAATCCACAAGAACGAAACTCTCAGAAGGAAAGAGTGCGAGCTCCCACAATAGCCATGATCTCAGTGCGGAACGTGCCCAACCGCTCATCCAGAACCTCCATAATCCCTTCCTTGACCGTCCCGAAGATCACAGGAGTATGCTCCAAAATACCACGGGTGATCTCCGACGAGATGAACTCCCGCATCTGCTCATTAATCAGCTCAATACCTGCACCTGAGCCTGAACCATAACCTGAACCTCCTCCACGTGTACTCATCACCATTCTGAAAAACAATCATACAAATGATCAGAACACGCCCAAGAATCCTCATCCCACTAGTTTCCTAAATTCTCCAAGACTCTCCTCGATTCGAGTATGGATCCTGTGCTTTCAGTAGTATGAGCCCAATACTACCTTCCACACCTATCCATACTTTCCTCAAGAATTATCTTGAATCCTACAGGTCACCTTTTTTCTTTCAAACTGATACTCCAAGTACTCGGTGATAAACATAACCAAACCCACCAAAGCACTTCCTAGGTTATCATAGGTTCCCGACCTCACCCTGCCATCAACTGTTGAAGAACTCCGACTAATACCAACTAACTACCTCATGAATATAAGCACATGCCACAGAGCTTATATAATCCTTCGAGTAACAGACTCAACCCTACAATGGTTAGACTCAAACAAGAGCTGCGTAATAGAGTCAAATCTGTCACTCTGAGATTATTTAACCTTCACAACATGTGACTTGACATATTCACTTAATAGTTAAGTCATATAACTAATAGTTCCACAAAGCGCAAAGCAAGCAGCATTCGAGCAGTAACACTCTAAGCCATAGAACAAACAAAGGACATCCAAAGCTCACTTACTACCACCCATGCTAGAAAATTCCACCCCCACTACTGGTTGCCTTATACATGCAAATTATACAAAATACAGGATCAAATAAACCGTCGAATAAAAGACTCTACCCTAGGACCACAACCAAACAAGGAACAAGAAATAATGCCAAATCAGTCATTCTAGGTCTATAAGATCCTAATCGTATACAATTTTAAAAGCATACACTTAGCAATTACTGCCACCAATACATATTCCCAATCATAACATCCAATGCTTCCCAGGCTATAAGGCATCACGTATCAGGCCAATCTATTATGCAATTCCTGAAAGTACCCTTAGCTTTATCCTATCATGCAAACATTTAGATCATACAACATATCAACATGTATGGGCATTCTGAGAATTACTTACTTGAGCTCAAATAATTGCACGCATCACCCCCTTTTTCTTTACAAAAGTCTTTTTAGAAATTTGTTTTCTTTTAAAAGATTACCAACTCATCAGTTTGAGTTCAGTCACACCAGATAGTGTGCCCGCATCCCTCAAACCAAGGCTCTGAGACCAACTTGGAACGACCCAAAAATTATAAGGTAAAAATTTCATTTTTAGTTTAACCATAAACACCAATTATCTTTTTACAAACATTCAAAAGTATATCATAGTAAAACAATTATCAGAGTACAATCCCAAAATCATCAAGTTGCAGAAATATGGGTTGATGCGCTGCGATCCAGCCGGGCCCTCCCCTTTCGAACCGGAAGTACCTGAAACCATAACCATAAAAACCGTAAGCACAAAGCTTAGTGAGTTCCCCAAAATACCACATACCATGCATATCATTGGGTCTAGCCCGTATATTGGGCCCAACCCACCATAATGGACCCAGCCCTGCCAAACCAATGGGCCTAGCCTGGCATACAAATGCAAGAGTAATAGATACAACTAGCACCCTAGATAACATACAATGAGCCTAGACCTTGCTGATCCATGGGCCTAGCCTAACATATAAATGGGCCTAGCCCGTCATACCATCGGCCTAGCTCGATATACAATGGGCCTAGCCCAACATACCATGCAAGAGTCACAAAGACAACTAGCATAACATATCCTAGTGGGCCAACATTGGTGCCTTCGATCCACGGGTACAGTGAAGAGACTCACCTCAGTCCAAGATAACTGAACATACACGCAACTGTACCCGAGATCCTTACACTGAACACAACCAATTCATCCCTACTTAATAATTAAGATAATCTCCCAAAATCCAAAGCCCAAGAAATATTCTATCTACCTAAAGGGTAAAAGACCATTTTACCCTTCCCATAACTAGTCCAACACCTCATGGCCCAACTCCCAAAAAAACCAAGGCCCAAAATGAACTTCTCGGGAGTACGCCTCGTGTACCAGAAACGTACACCCCACATAAAGCCCGTTGCAACACAATGTACAAGTCGCCAATTTCTGATCCATGTATTACGTTGAACGTACTCCTACGTACGCACATCGTACTCATCAGAGGGTCAAAACTCACCATTAAGCTCTTAATGGTTAAGACAAGAACGTCCAAACGTAGATCTGACCCTTAAAGGGTGTTTTAATTCATAAAGTTCCTGACTTTATGACTTTTCATGGATTAATGAGGTCCAAACCATAATATAAGCTTCCTAACTTCATAATAAGATCACCAATACTTGCATGAGAGGATAAAACTTCACAAGATCCAAACTTTATGACAAAATGACCTCAACAAGGACCAGATATGAGGCTCAAAGGTTCTGGAGTAGCTTCTACTCATAAGAACCACCACAATGGGACCAAAACATGATAAAACTCAGAAGGTCGTCTCAACGAGAAATTAAAGCGCCGGTGAGTGCGAAACAAGGTTACAGTGGTGTTAGGATTTCCATGCTTCTGGTGGCACTAGATTTTTAGTGCCTCCGACGACGAAAATATGGCGTTCTGATGGTGGTGGTGGTCGCGTTCTAAATTTCTGGCAAGTAGTGGTGTTCTAATTTTCCGGAAGGTGGTGGCTGCTTGCACGTTCTAATTTTTCCGGTTGGTGGTGTTGTTTTGAGAGAGAGAGAGAGAGAGAGAGAGAGAGAGAGAGAGTGTGTGTTAGGATAGTAAGGGTGGTGTTGGATTTTTATTTTTGATTTTTTTTATAAATGCATAAATGAAAAAGAAAAAGAAAAAAAGATAAAAGTAAAGATATAATTGTCACTATTTTCAAAAAGCTTTGGATCAAAACTGCAATAAAATTATCATTTTTGAACCAATGGTGTCAGTCAAAAAATTTTTAGACCAAAGTGGTAACTTTCAACTAAAAACAATGACTATTTTTGCAATTTTGTGTTGAATACATGTACGAGAAATTATGATTTGTTTGATTGTCATAGAGCATTTTCGGAAAAAAAAAATCAAGTTCCAAAACCAAGAGCACAAAAACAAAGTTTCATATCTGTCCATCATCAACTTATTAATGAACTAAATTTACTTGAAAAAAGCTTAGATGGTTGATGTCGATAAACTTCCAAATTGGTTGTTCCACTCTTCATATATTCGAAGTTCGTTCCGAGAAACAGAAGGTCTCACCTCCTTTAGTGCATCCTTAAAGTCCTATAAAAATTAGAGAGAACATACAAACATAAGATAACCACTAAGAATCGCCTGTATACAATCTGTTGTAACAGACTCCTAGTTTTAAATATAATACCCAAGAGGTATGAAAGTTGAAAATCCATGCTGATTTCAAGCGTATGTACCTTTAGAGTAACTGATCTCATATCCTCCATTTTAAGATTAGTAATCTCAGCCCCTAGTTTCAAAACCTCTCTGATTGGACCCATGGAAGCATCTTTGACTAAATTTGTCATATCAGATCCTGAATACCCTAAAACAAATCAAAATACATGTAAGGTAAGGGTAAGACATACATCAAAGTGAGGAAAAATAAAGTTTTAAAAGAGTAGAGATAAAACCATCTGTTAATTTGCATATGGTATCAATATCCTTCTTTGAGAGTTTAAAAAGCCCATCCTTGCTCAAAAGATTACGGACTATCCAGGCTCTTGCTTCTATACACGGAAGACATAATTAGCCTTGTATAAGTATTAAGTAGCATATATAAGGAGTTAATTTTAAAGAAAAAAAAAAGATAAATTAAAGTTGCACCTGCAGAAGGGAGTGGAATATAAAATCTCTTGGTCATCGCCTCCTAGCTGCTTCATCTAAATCTTGTGGTCTATTTGTTGCTCCTTCAAATTGTATATGTATGATCACAAAGCAAATGGATTTATAAATGGTGTGAAATAAGATAAAACTTTACAGGTGGGATTTCACTAAAATTGAAGTGAATATATATATATATATATATATATATATATATATATATATGAAAGCTCTTTATTTGTCTGAAAAAGGTGTTTCAATTTTCAGGTACATAACAACATCCAGGGGCGGATGCAAGATTTTATAGTAGGGGTGTCACGAGAAATTTTAGTCATTGCATTTTACCTTTTCTTTCCCTTACTTTGGAACATTTACTCAATTATAGCGTGTACTTACAAATATTCTTTTCAAGGCATTATTATACTTTAAAAGATCTACCTAATTATAGCAATGTAAATTGGTGTGTATTTAAATTGGTACTGCATGCTATAGGTGAGTAAAATTTTCAAATTACAGTATTATAGAAATTAAGTATTGAAAGTTGGATGCTAAAATATGTGAATCAATGGAAGTATGTTGCTATTTCTTGAATTTAACCCCTCTCTTTGATGTTAGAGTTTATTCACCTATGAGTAGAATTTGTTCACTTCCACCGAATCTTTCCATTTCAATAAGAAACTGTGTCTTAATTCGCCTGGTTGACTCATGCTCATAATATGAATTACGCTGCAATTGTAATCAAATTGAAAAAAGGGAAAGTGAATCCTGTAATTAGACTAAATAAATTAAAGTATTCGAATAAAATCTAAATGTGACGTATATACCTTGAACAACAGAGAATCAATTTCATCCACAAATATTACTGCTGGCTGACGACATCTGGCAACTCCAAAAAGAGCCCGAACTAGCTTTTCACCCTCTCCCACCTATACATATATAGTTATCATATCTTTAATTTATAACCTTTTACTTGAATATAACCAATAAAAATATATGGATACGTAGTGCTATAAATCAATCACATACATACATACCCATTTGCTTGTTATTGAACTTGCGGATATGTAGAAAAATGTTGCTTTAGACTCTCCAGCAATAGCTTTACCTATCATTGTTTTACCTGTTCCCTACATCAATTAACAAATCAAAAGAGTTTGACTTTTGTCATAAACGATATATTATAGTAGATTAATGTAATATTGAGCTTACCGGGGGACCAAATAAAAGAAGTCCTCTTCCTTGAGAACGACAACCTTTGAAAATATCAGGGCGTAACAAAGGCCATATCACCATCTCATTTACACATTTTTTCGCATGATGCAATCCAGCTGTAATTAAGATGACAATATATAATAATAATAATAATAATAATAATAATAATAATAATAATAATAATAATAAATTATTAATAAAGATAATTAAAAGTTTATGGAACACAAAAAACCTCTTACCAATATCATCCCAGTGAACATTGGTATTAGAGTCAATTATCTCATTACTAATCTGCTCAATAAGTCGAGGCTCTATATTCCTCAACTGCTGTGGAAGTTGACCATCAGGACCACGTACCAAACCCACCCTGCATGCACGTAATCATAAGTTAAAATGAACAAAAATTTTAGAACCATGTTCAATATAACTAATTGCTTTATGATACCAAGTATTGAACTTAATTACCCTTTTTCTGTTGAAGCACCATTAGCTTTAAATGATGCTAGATTACCAGTGACACCATAGCCTATTTGTCCAGCCAATAATTCCCTTTGCCTAGCAATAATTTCCTGTGGCATTAAGTGACTTGCATCATGGATCGAGATTATATATGACCCCAGCTTTTTAAATATTTTTCCAATTTCAGATGGGAAAACAAGAGAGAAGCCAATACTACAAATTAAAGTAGTATTAAGTTAAAGAAGCTGTTGCTCAATATTAATTTCTTATGAGTTACTAGAGTATGTATATAAGTATATACATCACTTTCTTTGATGGGATTAAAAAGGATGCACAGCAAATTATGTAGCAATTCGAGTAAGTAAACACATGATTAAGGGATAATAATTAAGTTTCTTTTGAAGCATGGACATTTCAAAGTTAAACATGTATACCATCATTTTTGTTGCATCGGTAAACAAAGTATTGCTAGTAACATGACCAGCATTAGCTTCCTTGTTGCTTGATTGAGACAAGACTTGTTCATTCTTTGGGCTACTGATTTCAATGTGAGCTCGCTTCTTCTTCGATGTCAAGCTACTTTTGTTTGTTCTTTCTTCATGATCAACATTAATATTATACGCAAACGAAGAAGGACAGGGACCACCCTCAGCAACAACCTTGGAACCATTTTCTCCTGAATTAATGACAGAATTATTGCCACTGATATGGCCATGATTGGCATGAGCTTGAGGTCCATGGGATTGGTTAATAGCTTGCATCTGAGATCTGTATCGGGCGGCTGCAGCTCGAGTTTGAACTTTTGAATTGACTTGAGCTTGATACATATTTATGAGAGAAGATGAATACGGTTTTTGACTTGACTTGAGCTACAAATGCTGCCTCGACAGTGTGCATGCGAAACCTAAACTGCAACCCAAAAACGATCGTACGTTCAGAATGCAAACATATACTAAGTATATAATTAAATACATGCAACGGTGAAAATTAGGTTAAAACTATCGCCATAAACTGATGATCATACGCAAATATACCTAAACAAGATAGAAGTACTGTTGACGTGGGGTTTACAAAGCAGGAAATTTATCGCAATAAATTACGTAAAACTTGAAGAAAATCATAGAGAACACAAAAAATAAGTAAAACTTGAAGAAAATCATAAAAAAAAAATTCAACCTATGAAATATGTTATTTTTAGAACAGCGCCTATGATGAAATATGTATATATGATCCGCGGCTCCGGTTTGATCAGCAACCACATGCTTAAGGAAGTTCACGACCACTTCTTTAGACCCAAATGAAGCAAATAAATTAATCAAGAATAAGGACTGAGAAGACCTGATTTTTACCGTGAAGACGATGGACAACTTGTGGGTTTCTGATTTTTACCGACGATGGAGAACTCGTGAGGGTTTCTGATTTCTTCGTGGGTTTTGTTTATCCCTATATGAGAAGGGATATCAGTCAGCTTAAATACCAACATAAAGTATACGCTAAATTTAATGGGCTAATCCGGACTGAATGGAATTATATATACCGGCTAAAACACGAACTTATATATGTTTCGGGCGCTACTAGAAAAATGGAAATAGAATACGGTCATTTGGAAACTCCACATATTAGATTAAGATTAAGAAATATAGAAATAAATATACGGAATAGAAGTAGGCAATTAATCGATTTAATGAACTACACGTCATTTTTTTTAAATGAATCTAGTGTCACCTACCCAACCCAAAATTACAGTTCCATACGTTCGATACCCAATCACCATCATTATCGCCATCATCGACTATTGCCGCCATAATTACGTTTGGATTTCACAGTGATCTAATCCTTGCTCGAATTAAGCACACTGTCAAATTTGAACTTTCAGATTTGAACCTCGTGGTGAAATTTCTCCATGAATTTCATTTCAATTTGATTGGATTCCGGTTCAGGTTTTGTGAAAGCAATTTCGATTTTGATTTGGTACTTTCTGTTTTTCTTTAGATTTTGATTGTATATGGCGATGGTTTACTGTGTCTTTAGGTTGATTTTGTTAGCCCACATGTATTTATGTATTTGTATGTTAGACCCAATTGTATTTTGTGAGCTAGGCTTTACGTATTGTGCTTGTATCTATATATATTGTTTTAGTGAATGAGATGGGGGCATGGGAATTTACCCACCATAACATTTTCATTAAATTTATTATGTTAATTAATGTCTTATGTTTTTCATTTTCCGTTTTCTAGTTTTATCTTGTCTTGATGATGAGATGGTTGATTTCTTCATTCAATTGATGTTAATGTTTTCTGATTTTCACTTACCTGTTGGCTGACATCAAAACAAATTAAGCACTTCAGAAAAATATCAAAACACAAACTTCGATAAACACACAAAACTTCTGAAAAATGTAAATCAAAAGAACACGATATTTAACGTGGTTCGGTCAAGATGACCTACGTCTACGGGAGAACGAGAGAGAGAGGGAGAGAGAGAGAGAGAGAGAGAGAGAGAGAGAGAGAGAGAGAGAGAGAGAGAGAGGATTTTATTAACTTTCTGGAACAATTACAAGCACTCAAAATTGTATCTCACTTTGAGCTCTCACAGAAATCTAGCAATTTATAATGATGGGGGTGTGAGCCTATTTATACTTGAAGGATCAAACCTAAAACCCTAATGGGCCAAGCCCATTGGCCTATAGGCCCATGAATGATGACAACCAATCACAATCCCACATGCAGCATCTTCTGGAACATTCTTGAGCATCATCATCTTCTAGGCATACTTGGATCAATATGGCGCATCATGTACCAAGATGGTCCATGATGGCGCAACAACAACCCTAGATGGCGCAACAGGGATATAAATGGCGCAAGAGCATCAAGTATGGCTCTTAAACATCAATCTTGGAGCAACAACATCACCATGGAGCAACATGCACATGCATGGTGCAACAAGGCCATGCATGGCGCAACAAGTAGCATCTTGACGCAAGATGAGAACAAGATGGCACAAGAGGGAGTGTCATGGCGTAAGAGCATCCCTCTTGGCCCATCCTTTTATCAAATGGCGCAACAAGGACTCCTTGTTGCTCCATATCCCTCCCAAGTGCTCCAAACCTCTTCGAAGTGTTCCAAACCTCTTCCATGTGCTCCAAACCCCCTTGTACATGATTCGTTCCTTTAGCACTTGATCTGTTCCTTTGCCTGATGATCCATTCATTTCTCAGAAGATCCGTTCCTTTGTCACATGCTCCATGAACCTCAAGTGCTCCATTGAGTTGTAAGTGCTCCAAAAGCTTCATGAACATGATCCAAATGATCAATGTTGGACAAGACTTCATACCCCAACAATCTCTCACTTGAAGGCTTGAACAACTTCATCTGCCATTCATAATTTCACCATTCCTCAAAGTACTCCCCCATTCTCTCTCTCTGCCAAGCCCTTCTCTTCAAACTTCTGAAAGGCCAGTTGAAGCCATGCAAAGCTTCAACTTCTCAGTGGTAACCACCTTGGTGAACATATCAGCTGGATTCTTCGTTCCAAGGATTTTCTTCAAGTTTAGAGTTCCTTCATTGATTAACTCTCGAATGAAATGGCACCTCATCTGAATGAGTTTTCTTCTATTGTGAAACACTAGATTCTTTTCTAAGTGAATTGCACTTTGGTTGTCACAATGCAGTACACAATCCTCCTGTTGCATTCCAAGTTCTGACAAGAAACTCTTCAACCATATGAGCTCTTTGGCAGCTTCTGCAAGTTCCATGTATTCTACTTATGTGGTTGAAAGAGCAACATTCTTTTGTAACCTTGACATCCAGCTGATTGATGTACCTCCAATTGTGAACACATAACCTGTTGTGCTCTTACCTGAATCTACAAGCACCTAAGTATGCATCACCAAACCCTTCTAAAACTACTCCTTTTCTTCTGAAACACAAGGAACACTCAGCTATTCCTGTTAAGTAGCGTAGCAGCCATTTCACTCCTTCCCAATGTTATCTTCCTGGATCTGACATGAATCTGCTCACAACTCCCACTGCATGAGCAATGTCTGGTCTGGTGCAAACCATTGCATACATTAAGCTACCAACTGTCGATGCATAGGGAACTTTAGACATGTATTCTATGTCTACTTCCATCTTTAGGGATTGTTTCTTGGTAAGTCTCAACTGACTCCCCAATGGTGTACTTCTGGCTTTTGCATCTGCCATGCTGAACTTTTCTAAAACTTTCTTGATGTACTTGGCTTGTGAAAGTTTTAGTGTACCAGTAACTTTGTCGCTGGCTATGCTCATGCCCAATATTTGTTTAACAGTCCCTAAGTCCTTCATCTCGAACTCACTGGTCGGTTGCTTCTTTAGCTTGTTGATCTCCTGCATGTTGGGTCCAGCAATCAACATGTCATCAACATATAACAATAGGATGATATAAGAGAACTTAAATTTCTTCAAATAACAGCAGTGATCCATCTCACATTTGATGTACCCATTCCTCTTCATGAAGCTATCAAACTTCAAGTACCACTGCCTTTGAGCCTGCTTCAAACCATACAGATTTTTCTTTAGTTTGCACACCAGATTTTCCTTGCCAACTATGGGAAAACCTTTTTATTGTGCCATGTAGATGTCTTCTTCAAGGTCGCCATGGAGAAAAGCTGTTTTCACATCTAGTTGCTCTAGATGGTGATCTTTTGAGGCCACAATTCCCAAAACCATTCTGATTGTAGTCATCTTCACAACTGGAGAGAATATCTCATTATAATCAACCCCCCTCTTCTGTTGGAAACCCTTGACTACCAACATTGCCTTGTATCTCTTAGTGCCATTAATCTCATCCTTAACCCGAAACACCCACTTGTTTTGCAGTGCTTTCTTCCCTGTTGGGAGCTTGACTAAGGACCAAGTGTGATTCTTGTCAAGTGAGCTCAATTCTTCTTCCATATCCTTCTTCCACTGTATGGATTTTTTCATCCTCAAAGTTTCTAGATAAGACTCAGGTTCGCTATTCTCTGTCAGCAACAAGAAGTTTGTTGAAGAAGAATACCTGACTGGAGGCCTTCATACTCTAGTGGATCTATGGACGGTAGGAGTTTCAGTTTCTACACCTTCATTCTTTGAACTACTATCATCTATGCTCCCACTATCTTTAGTTTCATCAGAGCTCCCATTGCTTCCTGAGCTTTCACCTATCTCTGGAGTACTGATAGGTTTTATAATATCGTCTTATGAAGTTTCTTCTAACTCAACTTGTTATTCCTATTCTGGTTGTTTGTTACTGCTTGAACCCCTATCAAGTTCATCCTTGTATAGCACATTCTCATTGAACACCACATCCCGACTTCTGATAACCCTTTTGTGCTCGTTATCCCAGAAGCGGTAACCCATGTCATCCAACCCATAGCCTATAAAGGTGCACTTCCTTGACTTTGCCTCTAGCTTGTCTCTCTCAGAGTCATTGACTTTTACATACAAGACACAACCAAAGACCTTCATGTCTTTGAATGAAACCGCACGACCTTTCCATTCTTCTTCTGGATTCTTGAACCCTATGGGAACTGAGGGTCCTCTATTGATTAGGTATGCAGTTGTGTTGACCGCATCTGCCCAAAACATCTTGGGCAAACATGCATGTAGTCTCATGCTCTTCGCCCTTTTCATTCAATGTTCTGTTCATCCTCTCAGCTACTCCATTCTGCTGAGGTGTTTCTGGAACGGTCTTTTACACCCAGATTTCATGTTCAACACAGAAATCAACGAATTCTTTGCTAATGTATTCACCCCCATTATCGGATTTGAAGCACTTGATTTTCAAGTTAGTTTCATTTTCTACCATCGAT